ACGCAAGTACATACATAGATAGATAAGTGCGTGTGGGTGCGTGATGGCGCATGCGTGTATACGTTGTGAAAAGGAAGGACGAAACACATTAAGAACTGTGAGAGAAAGTTGATGAGGAGACTTCCAAGTTATGAGGTTCGGCGCTGGGTGAGGAACCGGGCAGCGGGGGGGGGGGGGGGGGAACTATGCCATTCTCGAAGGGGTTAGAGTCATTTCGTTTTAACCGGGGATGCGAAGAATTTAGAACGAATAGAGGAGACGGGGTGCTCGGATGGTGAAGGTGGAAATGCATGTTTTCTCTTTCTCTATTTTTTTCTCGCTCTCGCTCTATCTCTATCTTCTCTATCTTCAGTTATCATTAGTTCTCTTTTCAGAATCAGTTATCATTAGTTATCCTTTCAGAATCAGTTATTATTAGGTATCTTCTCAGAATCAGTGATTATTAGTTATCTTTCAGAATCAGTTATTATTCGTCATCTTTCAGAATCAGTTATTATTACTTATCTTTTCAGAATCATGTTATCTTTTTCAGAATCAGTTTATCTTTTCAGAATCAGTTATTATTAGTTATCTTTTCAGAATCAGTTATTATTAGTTATCTTTTCAGAATCAGTTTATCATTTATTAGAATCAGTTATTATTAGTTATTCTTCTCAGAACAGTCTTTTCAGAATCAGTTATCTTCTCAGAATCAGTTATCATTAGTTATCTTTTCAGAATCAGTTATATTAGTTATCTTTTCAGAATCAGTTATCATATTATCTTTTCAGTTCTCTTTCTCAGAATCAGGTTATTTTTCAGTTATCTTTTCAGAATTCAGTTATTATCAGTTATCTATTCAGTTATTATCAGTTTTTTTCAGAATCAGTTATCATTAGTTATCTTTTCAGAATCAGTTATTAATCAGAATTTATCTTTTCAGAATCAGTTATTATGTGTTATCTTTTCAGAATCAGTTTATCATTAGTTATCTTTTCGAGAAGATCTCAGTTATCTTAGTTATCTTTTTCAGAATCAGTTATTATTTAGTTAATCTTCTTTCAGTTATCAGAATCAGTTATTATTAGTTATCTTTATGCAGGAATCAGTTATTATTAGTTTATCTTCTCAGAATCAGTTATCAGTTATTATTCGTTATCTTTTCAGAATCAGTTTATTATTGTAGTTATCTTTTCAGGAATCAGTTATTATTATTATCTTTTCAGAATCATTTATCATTAGTTATCTTTTTCAGAATCAGTTATTATTTAGTTATCTTTTCAGAATCAGTTATTATTAGTTATACGAACAGTCAGCTATGGGGCAAGAGGCACGCTTATGAAAAGATTCCAATTTATCGATATGTGAGAGATGATTATATGTAGGTACTGTAGGCTAGATGAAATATAGATAATTCATTTTCGAATTGTTTCCATTGCCCCCCCCCCCCAGAAAGTACCCCGTGTTCCCCCTAGGTGTCATGGTCCCCAGAGAGAGAGAGAGAGAGAGAGAGAGAGAGGCGAGAGAGAGAGAGGAGAGAGAGAGAGAGAGAGAGAGAGAGAGTGAGAGAGAGAGAGAGAGAGATGAGAGACGAGAGAGAGCAGAGAGGAGAGAGAGAGAGAGAGAGAGAGAGAGAGAGAGAGCAGAGAGAAGAGCAGGAGAGAGTTGGGAAGCTCTAGGTTGTATGCCCCCTGTGTTTTGTTATCAATGAATATTATAAAACTAAGCCTTATTTTTATTAACTGTACATTGAGCTTAATAGTACTCTCTCTCTCTCTCTCTCTCTCTCTCTCTCCTCTCTCTCCTCCTCTCTCTCTCTCTCCTCTCTCTATCTATCTCTCTCTCTATCTATCTATCTATCTATCTTTCTCTCTCTTCCTCTCTCTCTCTCTCTCCTCTCTTCTCTCTCTCTTTTTCTTCTCCCCATTTGTTTTTTGTTTGGTTGTTTGTTTTTTTTTTTCTTTTTTTCTTTGTTCTGTGTTCCAGTGTTCTTTGTCCCATTTTCTGTGTTCTACTCGAAACGTTCTGCGTGTCCTAAAAATGTTTTCTGCATATTTTTTTATAATTTGTTTTCTGCATTTTTTTTCTAAAATGTTCTGCGTTTCTTCTAAAATGTTTATACATATATTTTCGAAAAATGTTATGCGTATTCTTCTAAAATATTCTCCATCTATATTTTCTGGTCTCTATTTTCTTCTATGAACCTTCCAATCTAAAATAAATAAATAAATAAAACTCGAACACCAAGAAATGTGAACCAACTTTTTGGGGTAAATTCACGTGTCTGTTTGTCTGAAAAGGATTATTCAGTGCTCTTATATCACGTTAAACCTTAGCGCTTTTATGCTATTAACTCCCAGCATGAGTGGGAAAGGGAGATAATAGAGAGAGAAGAAAGAAGGAAAGAGAGAGAGGGGAGAGAGAAAGAGAGAGAGAGAGGGGGGGAGGGAGAAGAGAGGGGAGAGAGAAAGAGAGAGAGAGGGGAAGAGGAAGAGAGAGAGAGGGATAGAGAAAGAGAGAG